TTTAGCTAGTGCTTTACCTCCTTTAGCTAGTGCTTTACCTCCTTTAGTTAGTGCTTTACCTCCTTTAGCTAGTGCTTTGCCTCCTTTAGCTAGTGCTTTGCCTCCTTTAGCTAGTGCATTACCTCCTTTAGCTAGTGCATTACCTCCTTTAGCTAGTGCTTTGCCTCCTGTAGTTAGTGCTTTGCCTCCTTTAGCTAGAGCGTTGCCAACTTTAGCTAGTGCTTTGCCTCCTTTAGCTAATGCTTTGCCTCCTTTAGTTACTGCTTTGTCTCCTTTAGTTAGTGCTCTGCCTCCTTAAGCAAGTGCTTGCCTCCTTAAGCTAGTACTTCACCTCCTTTAGCTAGTGCTTCACCTCCTTTAGCTAGTTCTTCGCCTCCTTTAGCTAGTGCTTTGCCTCCTTTGCTAGAGCTTTGCCTCCTTTAACTAGTGCTTCGCCTCCTTTAGCTAGTGCTTCACCTCCTTTAGCTAGTGCTTTGACTCCATTAGCTAGTGCTTTGTCTCATTTAGCTAGTGCTTTGCAACCTTTAGCTAGAGCTTTGCCTCCTTTAGCTAGTGCTTCGCCTCCTTTAGCTAGTGCTTCGCCTACTTTAGCTAGTGCTTTGACTCCATTAGCTAGTGCTTTGCTTCTTTTTATCAGTTGTTTCAGCAACATAACCAATTCATAACCATATAATAAAACAAAACCAATAAATTTCACCATAACATTCAGCATTAACCCTGCATTTATTCATTAAATATATATTTTTTATTTTCATCATGCTTCTTGTGTCCTGTAAGTGAAAAAAAATTGTACATCTACATCCTATATTACAAACTTAATGTTAAAAACAGCTGAACTAAAAAGTATAGCTAGCAAATACAATTTTGAGAACTTGCTGAGGCAGCAGTGATTTTTAAATGAAGAGCGCTGTTCAGTCAAAACAACATTTTTTAAGCAGTTCTCCACTCAGAAGTGCAAACCATTATTCATGCATGTCACCGGAGGACATGCAGTCTCCACATGAGGACAACATACCAAGGAGTTAAAAAAAAACCAGACAGTCACAAAAACTTCAAGTAGCTCCCAATTCAATATAAATGTAATCTCAGATAACCTTTAATGGGATAAATGTGACTAGGCCTGTCGCAATAAACAATAAAAAAATTATTTGCATGATAAATTAAACTTATCGACCTCATTTTCATTTATCGGCTTTATCGTTTCTTCGTGTCTCTCTCTTTCTACTGAAGACACTGGATGACAAAAGGCTCAACTCCAGTGCTCTTCACTGATCTCTCCCTTTCTCTTTAAAATCTGTTTTAAACGACCAAAATCGCGTTTTTGGATCATTGACAGCAGCTAAGCTGAGAAGCTAAGCTACGAGTTAAGCTAACAGGCTGACCTCGGGGAAAAAACTTCCATCTTGTCAAAGTTCCAAAATTCACGGTTGAAACCTGTACCTTCGTGTAAAAAGTTGTTTTTCTCTGCAAAAAGAAGCTGAGAACTTGTTTACTCATTTTTTATTTATTTTTATTAACAGCTTTGTGTGACAAATGCTATGCTAAAGAGCTCAAACCACACCGAGCGTCCGCCATTTTGAGAACTGAAAAATAGGAAGGAGAGACAGCCCATGTCACGTCAAGGGGCCTCCCTCCCATTTTTTTAAGGGACACGCTGCTCGCTCCCTCACTATCCATCCTTTGGTTCAAACAGTCTTATACTGCCATCCAGTGGTAAAAAAAAGGCACTACACACAAAATTTAACCAATATTTCGTCTTCAATTTGACAATAATTAGTAATTATTGTCAAATTTCAAACATTATTGTTTATCAAAATAATTTCTGAGACAATTAATCACCCAGCAAAATTTGTTATCGTGACAGGCCTAAATGTGATACAAGGCCATAAAGAATGCATTCAGTGGTTCATGAGAGATTTTCTTTCCTGTACAAACAGTTGTCATGATTGAGGAAACGTGAAAAAAAAAGTTTCATATTGACATTTCAGATCTATGTAGTCACATACCCAGAAAGACCTTCTCTTTCCCCACAGAGTACGATCCACACACCACGAGCGTACGGGGGTTAAGAGTCACCAACTCAAAGGCTGTATTGGCTGCAAAACTGATGACCTCTTGCTGCGTGGGGAAGGTGTACTCGGGGCTGCAGTAGCTACACAAACACAGTTTACACAGGAGAACCAGCTCAAGTTCTACACAATCCACACAGATTAATTGTAGCGACAAACGGTTTATGAAGGTGCTCACGTGGTGTCCAAGTAGAGCGTCTGCACTCTGCAGCTGAGGAGCTCAGAGTAGGCCTCCATGGACGGGTCGGCTCTGAAGTCCCCGGTGTGGAGGACTGTCTGGCCATTGGGCAGAAAGAACAGCAGCATGGCAGCTCCTGGACAACTGAGGGAGCAGACACAGGAAGGATGTGAGGCTGGAGCGGACTGGAGTGTGGGACCTTCAACACTAAACTGCTGTTTCGGTCGAGAAAAATCTACCGTACTTTCCGCCGTACAAGTCGCACCAACGTATAAGACGCATCTATTATGTGTCACCGCTGACCACCTGGAAACGTGGGTCAGTGTTGTGTCAAAAACCGATTGGCTGCCAAATGGCGGCCGTGGGAGCGTGCACGGGAGGACTTTAACAAGAATTTAACAAGATTAACACTTAAAAACAATAATGTCGGCTCCAGCTCCAGCTATTCTGGCCTTCCTGAATCCTGACAGCAGCTGCATTTTTTCTAGACGTTAGGGAAGTTGTTTGTGTCGTCTCGTCTTCTCTCTCCGTACTCAATGAGTGACGTTTTAGCGCAGAGCAGTAGGGTTTTAGTGGGTCTGGAAACAACAGATATGCCTTATTGCCTACTCTAGTTGTCAAAAGCCTAGAGGGCCCTCTAGTGGCTGCCAATGGTAGTGTTCAATATTTTCCATGTCAGAATGAATGAAAGCGTCAGATGTCAGTCAAAAATTGGGTTATGGGGGAAAAATTGTATATTAGTTGCTTCGGTGTATAAGTCGCAGGACTTGCAAATTTATGCAAAAATAGTGCAACTTATACTCCAGAAAATACGGTAAAAGCATTGCATTTATTTGAATTTGTGTCATTACATGTAAACTTGACTGGAAGCAAAGATGCTCAAGTATTAAAGAATGTTATGAACTTTTAAAACTTATATCCATTACTTATTATCTTATTACTGTTTTTCTTTTACATTTTATTGTTGGATGTAACTGGGACTCTGTGCACATAATTTGCGAACGACAACAAAGAATATCTGAATCTGAATTATTATCCAACGTGAATAATGTGTCTCAGTATAAATACCCGTTGTCAAAGACAAAAGGACAATGTTTTTGCCCACGTCTGTGTTCTATCATGTTAGCAAAATATTTCATACAACTATAACTTTGTTCCTTCTTAACATAAGGTGATTGAGTTTGGCATAAATGGCAGTGACTGATATAGATTCCTTGAAGGAATGAGCCACCTTTAATTTCATATTTTAATGGTCATCATGGCTAACAGTAAAACCTGTTAGCTTATATTTATCATATATGGATCATAACATCTTGTGTCATAAACTCTCAGAAATTGGTTTCTCAGAACACACCATTGGTTGGTTCGCTAACTATCTTTCAGACCGGAGGCAATGTGTTCAACATAATGGTACTTCCTCCAGTTATTTAACAGTCAACAATGGTGTACCACAAGGCTCAGTCTTAGGACCCACCCTCTTTACAATCTATATACATAATGTAGGTAAAAACATCCCTAATGCATCCATACATTTCTATGCTGACGACACAGTTGTTTATTGTCGAGCTAAAACTGTTGCAAAAGGCTTTCCAGCTTTTGAAATCTGCATTCAACATCATCCAGACTGATTTGTTTCACCTCAAACTTGTCCTAAATGCCGAAAAAACCAAAGGGATGCTTTTTTCAAATAGGAAGTTGGTCCCAGCAGTTCTTCCTCCGATTTTATCCTCAAATGGTGTCCCCATTGAGTTTGTTGATTCCTATAAATATTTGGGTATCTTGGTCGACTCACATCTTTCTTTTAAGCTCCATGTGGAAAACTTGGTAAAGAAACTGAAAGTTAAACTGGGTTTCTTTTTCAGAAACAAATCCTGTCTAACCCTGAATGCTAGAAAACGCCTTGTATCTGTGACTTTCCTTCCCTCCATTGATTATGGTGACATTTACATGAACGCTCCTACAAGAACCCTGCAGATGTTGGATGCTGTCTATCATTGTGCACTAAGATTCATAACTGGCTGTGATTATCGTACCCACCACTGCACCCTGTATTCACTGGTTAACTGGACATCATTAACTTCACGCAGACTCTCTCACTGGTACATTTTCATCTTTAAATCACTTCTTTGTCTGTTGCCTTCATACATCTCCTCCTACATGTCTCTGCGTGAGTGCAGCTACGGAGTACGCTCTCAGGACATTATTACCTGCAGTGTTCCCTCAATGAGGACTGAACTAGGCAAAAGGGCCTTCTCCTATTCCGCTCCTGTTTCCTGGAACATCTTACAAAAAGATTTGAAGCTCTCGACCTTGACCTCTCTAAGTGTCTTTAAGAATCTGTTGGACACCTGGCAGGGTCCAATGCTGACATGTTCCTGTTGTTAGTTTTATACATTTGTCTTGGAATCTAGCTGTTTTTTGTTTTGTTACCTTTTCCTTTTAGCCATCCTATTTGTTAAAAAAAAAAAAACTGTAGTATGCTTTTTTATAACTGTTTATTGTTGTTGCTGTTGTCCATTGTTGTCATCTTTCTTTGTTGAAATCAGGTCTCTCTTGTAAATGAGTCCTCGAGGCTCAATGGGATTTACCTGTATAAATAAAGGTTGATTGATTGATTGATTTAGTTTAGTGTTCTCATGAGTAACTTTAAATACACAAACAACCAATTCTGAGTATTACCAGTACATCCAAGGCCTGTGCAGCTTTTATTTATTTATTTTTAACTCCTAAGTTCTCATGTATCACAGACTGTGCTTAAAATATGTTGAAGCTCGTCCCCGCTGACGTCCCGTTTGACTCACTGGTTGGCGTCTAGCAGGATGACCCGGACTCCTTCCACAGTGACCTCAGTGTTCATGGGGAGGATGTGGACATACTGCTCTGCCACCCTCAGTTTGCTCCTCACCAAGTTTCCTGTGATCTGATCAAAAAAACATCATAAGCTTAGACGCGTAACTGGAAATCTCACTCTAAAAACTGCATTTTAAACTGTGAGACGGAGCAAAATCTACTTAACATTGGTGTAAAATTGTTATTTTACTGTTTGCACAAAAAAACAAACAACACACATAAAGGAAAAGATCAAAATAAAATGCGCAGGAGAGGTCATAAATACCCAAATGGGCTTACAAGGGGATATGTAAATCATACTTCCTTCTTAAGAATTATACTCAAAGAAATTATGAAAACAATAGAGTAAAGATAACGGAAGAAATACGACTATACGTCAAGATTCCCATGTGATACTTATTCACATCATAAATTATTAGTATTTGTAATTTGTGTAAACAGAGATGTGGATGGAGCTAAATGTGGAGTGTTAGAAACAAAAAGATTTTTGAAGTTCATGGATTATGGACTAGCCCAAAATTAAATTACAATAAGAAATATGAGGATAAAGATTGATAAATTACTTATTTTTAAATATGGTTTAACCTTTTTTATAATCCCTAAAGATTTTGAGATCTTCTTACACACAGATTCACAACAATTCTTAAAGTTTCTCATCAATATAGACACCTAAAAATGTTGTTGATCAAACACTGGAAAGTAAATTGTTATTAATATAAATTTGATTTTTTTTTCTGGATTGTAATTCTTATTCAATTCAATACAATTCAGTTTATTTATATAGCGCCAAGTCACAACAGAAGTCATTTCAGGGCACTGAACAGAAACATTTATACACATAAAAAGTAAGTTAACAACATTATTTATCTGAGGAACAGACTGCTTTGAATTTAACTCAATCGCAGACTCTCATCCTGAGCAAACACGAAGGCGACAGTGGAAAGGAAAAACTCCCTCATGAGGAAGAAACCTCCAGCAGAACCAAGCTCAGGACAAGTGGCCATCTGCTTCGACCAGCTGGGTTTGACAGGAACAGGAAGGAGGGACAATGTTAAGATAGAAATAATATCAAATGAAAACTATTCAACTTTAACAATTAATTTAAAGTAATGAGGTCAATTTGTCCTCTAGTAGTCTAAGTGTATAGCTGCATAACAAGCCAACCCTAACTCCAGTTAAGACTCTGGCAGCAGCGTTTTGGATCAACTGAAGACTTTTAAAAGAAGTTTTTCAGAAAATAATTTACTTTTTAAAATAAGTATTATTCTTAAATAATATGAAATTAGATTTTTGAACATTAAGTGATAGTTTATTTAACTGAGCTAACTGAATGAGTCCATAATTTCCCTTATCAAAAAGTGAGTCAAGATTATTGTTAGTAACGAAAATATTGGTGTCATCAGCAAATAAAATGTGACAAAATACTAAATGCTTTTGGTAAATTGTTGAAAATCTTTTTTTTTTAAATACTGACCCACCCATATTAAAGGTTTGGTTACAACATGGCGTGAAACAGATTAACAATAGAAGTTATATTTTATAGTGGCTGATGTTTAACTTACCTTGTTACAGTAGATTGGAAATGTGGAGCTCTTGGTCAACCCTCCGTAATGGTCCGAGTGGAAATGGGTTAGGAAGTATGCAGTGATGCCCTCAATCTCTCCATAATGAAATGCATCTATAACAAACTTTGTACCTGAATTCAAAGTATATATAACATGTCACAAAACTGCATAATTTACACTTAATTTTATATTAAAAAAAAACAATCAATGACCTGGAATTTTTTTATAAAACGGACAACGAGGTAACTGAACTTCTCCATCAGGTCTGGTCCACCTTCCTCTCCATCCCCTCTTCCCTCCTCTTCCCTCATCTCCTTGTGGCCTCTTTAAACTCAAGTCATTTCCAGTTTCGGTGGACTGGGACAAAGCTACGGTGGTGTTTTTTATCTGCTCATCTCTCCTTTGTCTTTTCTGTCCCGAGTTCCTACCAGATGTTGGAACAGAGGACGTGTTTAACTCATTTGGTCCACTTTCCATCTCATTCTTCTCCTCTTTGAGTGGTTTGAGGCCAAAAAATACTCCAATGTCTGTCTGCTTCAAGCCAGAGGCCTGGCTCGCTTTGCTGTGGCCTTTATGAGGCAACATTTTTGGAGATCTTTTCACAGGGGACGTTGTCGATGAAGGCACTTGAGATGCTGTACAAAGTTTCTCTGATTTAATCGTGTTTAAGTTTTGGCTGCAATGACCTTTTGAACTAAGAGTTTCTCGGAGATGTTCTAAAACAAGACTCGACTGTGACTGAAAAGTAGATCCACACCAAGCTCCTGGTTCAGCTCTGCTTGAAGCAACTGTGGTGACTTGATTAGCAGGTGCTAATGAAGAAGCTGAAGCCACCTGAGCACTGGGAAGTGACGGATCCTTGAATGCCATTTCATCATCTTCCAAATTATCTACAAAATCAGCGAGGAGCTCATCTTCACTCGAGAAGCTGTCATTAAACAGCATCACAGAGTCGTCGGCATCAGACTTGTCATTGTTAAAAAGAGCTTTTCTACACTCGTTATTGGCTTCAGTCTCTGCAGGGAGCTCAGACAGTGGCGAGTAGGATATTCTGTCATCACTTTCGAGAAAAGTTTCATCTTTAGGTAGAATTTCACAAGTTGGACTTCCAGTTATTTCCTTGACAGGAGTGAATGAAATCTCAGTTTGACCTTGTGAGGATGCAGGTGACTTCTGGCCTTTGTTAGACCCTAACCAGCCTTTCTTTTTCCTCAAATCGTCAGGGCCAGGAGAGCGCAGCAACAGAAGGCCATTAGTATGTTTTAACGAAGATATTCCAGTGCCATTAACTTCAGGAGACACGCTTTGACTGGACAAAGAAGAAAGACTGAGAGCTCCGCCCTGAGAAGCTTCTAAAACACAACTGTCCTCACCAGCGTCTATCAGTCCCGGTAAAAAACTGAAGCGTTCTTCCCTGCTTGTTCCTGCTTGTTGAGTTAAACTGAGGACAGCTGTGCTGCTGTTTGCCCGACTGTGGGCCAGGAGTGTGTGGCTGAACTTCTTGTAATGGTTTGGGATTGTGGAGGAACACTGAAGACCATCTGGACATTCTGTATGAACAAATAAAACATAAACGAGTTAAGAGCAGAGTTGAAAATCTCTCTAATTCAAAAGCAACTTAACTGAAGAAATACTGAATGACTTTGAGCTATTTTTATGCAAATCGCCTACCAGCTGTAAAAGTTCCTTCTGTTCTAACTGTGGCAGCCCAGTCACTAGAAAAATCTAATTAAATATGATTTTGTAATTATTTTCATGCGACCTTTTAAAGCAAAACTAAAACTACATTCTACTTCAGCAAAGCTAAAATGATTCTCGTCAAGTTAAAATCCTATAATAAGCCACACGAATGCCAGTTTTGATCTAATCTGCATGTGACATGTCCAATGACTTGAAGATAAAATCATGAATCCCTAGCAGCTAACTGAACCCTAGATCTCATTTGGTGCTTTGAGGGGCAAATATATATAGAGTAAACCATCAACAGCCAGTTTAGAATAGAAAAGAATCATTGTTTTTATAATTATTTGACAAGAATGGATTGATAGGAAGAGCCTCACATTGCTACATCTGCAACATCTGTTAAAAAATTGTATGAATAAAAATAAAAAAGATCACAATGTGGTAAAAGTAATAAGAACTTACAAATAAAATAAAACACTTTTGTTTAAATCAGAGGCCAGGGTTCCCTGCTTCCAATATTATACTGTATAGAGGCGCTCAAACCTGATGATCAGTTAATCAAGTGATTATCAACCAGGCTGCAACTTTTACTCTTGATTTTTAGAAAAGGAGCAAGCCTTTATAAAAGGAGTAATGCAGATATTCTGCTGTGTGGTTCCATTTTGGTAAAATAATTACTTCTATCCTCTATTTCAGTTCAAGATTCAACTTTTTATTTTATTTTATTTTTTACACTGGTTCATATTGTAACATAAACACATCCACTCATGCACCAGACATTTAGCTCTTGCCAATGATTTATTCGGGTGCAATAATTACTGATCGACCCAGATTTGTTCGGCCATGACCCATGCCACATCAAAAACTTCCGAGCTTTCTTTCTTACAGGCACCCAGGGGGGAAAAAAGCAAATGGGAGAAAAACCACACACCCTACTCACTACCCAGCAACCCCTGCAGCAACACAGAACATGTCATACTTAAGAACCAGTAACAGCACAACAAGAATAATGAACATGTAACAACAACTCCTTAATACACTGTGTTGCTTAAACAATTTCTTCTGGTATTTCTGAACATCTGTTGCAATGGGTAACCGTGCCAACGGGAGAGTTGTTTAAAATGCAGGAAGAGATTAGATCAAACAGATGAAACCACCCCCAAAACAGATCTCACATTCCTCACAAGTTGAAGACATTACAGATAGGCCAGGAGCAAAGCCAAAAGCAGGAGGGGTGAAGTTTCCGGATTGTTGTGGGGAATATAAACTCTTTGGCATACACAGCTGAAGATTTTGATAAGAACAGAACAAGAATATAGGGAGTATGAATGGTTGGTTGTCTCCAAGTCGCCCTGTGATGGACCTACCTGTCCTGGGTGTACCCCGACACGAGCACAGTGATTGCTTGACATGGGCACCAGAGATCCAGAAAGGAAGAAGCAGGCGTAGATAATGGATGTTTTACAAAGACATGTCTGCAAGAATATACTGCAGACTCTAAAGCCTCTGTAACCCATTTTCAAACTATAGCAGACAGGACTTCAGACAGAATGGCAAAAGTAAAGGTGACCACAGTGCTTCTTTACAACTAAATTTGACACATAACCTAACCATTAACAGCTTGCTGAGTTCTTCACATTATCAATAAATATGCTTTTTCCAGGTTCCAAAGCTCTCAGTACTTTCCAAACTATCATTAACGCTGTTTATATTACTTCATCTCAACCATTAATATTGCAATAATATAAATGTGTATATGGGAATTGATTGCGTCCTATTATTATTTACTACAACTGTACATGTCATCAAGGTGAGGGTGTGTGCTATTCATTTGACGTCAGTGTCAGCTTCTTGTGGATGTCTGTACCTTTACAGTTGTCCCTGGGGGTGTCCAGACATTCAGCAACGTGCCATCTCTGGGACTGTACAACCAAAATGAAGAATGGCATCTGACATATGGGACAGTAGTCTTCAGATGATGATCTCTCAGCTGCATTGTTGTCATTATGGATTGTCTCTTTAGCAGGAGACGAGCTAAAGGACGCACTGTCAGTGTCAGCCTCTAACTTGCCACTTTCAGCTGGTTTGGCTGTTTCACTCTTCTCCTTTGACTTGACTGGGAGAGAAGTGTCTTTCTTGGACGTTTTTCTGGAAGTACACCTTTTTTTGGTCACAGACTGCGATTCCTTGTTTTTTCTTTTCTTCTCCAGAGGCTTATACTCCCAAATGTCACGTTCAGAGTCGTCCCTCTGTGACATTTGAACCAGCGTTGTTGGTTTGTTGCACAAGAACGGTTTGACATTCCGCGGTGATGACAAAAGTGATGCGATTCCTTAATAGTTGTGTGTCAAATTCTCTCTAAAATCTTTAAAAACTATAAATTACGAAACTTAACTTTACATAAATAAATAAATTCCCTTTGGACCTGTACGCGCACAGCCCATGAATTAGCAACACTTACCGCCACAGTACAACGCTAAACAAGGTAAATACCATAAGATAAAATGAGCTGCACTTTCGACACTTTACTAAAAATTTATTCTTTAAGTGATTTCTTTTACGTCTTGAAAAAAATACAGCGCACTAACGCTATCATTTTTTTTGTTAAAAGTAGACTTATTAATAAAAACACAACATTACGGGAATATATTTTTTTTTTAACTTTGTAACGAAATCAGTAACGTGAATCTATATTGTTGACTCCAAGCCCTGCTGTGATTGGTTGTTCAGATTAAACGACTGTGATTGGTCAATTCTCTAGAAGCAAATGATGACGCTCCTTCTGGTAGGAAGGAAGAAATCGTCGGTGTAAACATGGCGTCCCAGTGCACCCTCTCAACACTGTTTCCCATCCAAAGTCAGCTCGAGTGCGCCTTGGATGAGGCTGCCACCCATACAGAAAAAGAACAACTTGTTTACGATTATCTGGAAAAATCAGACGAAAGAGAGGACCTTAAAATCTCCGATTTCCACACAGGTTTGCTAATATTAAAGCTTTAGCTTTCTTATCAAATCAGCTCTACAAGAGTTTGACAGGAGTCTGAAACTCTGCTGTTTACAGCTTACAATTATCCTTTTTGTCAGTTGTTACAACTATGAAGCAAATTTAGACCGGTTGTGTTACAGTCACATTTCAAAAAGCTAGTTGGCTTCTCTAGTCCAACTCATTTATTAAGCTGCAACAAAGTTGTAGCTTTAATAACAAAACAAACAAACTTTGACCAAACTGGAAGCAATTACTTTACTAAGGTTCTAGAGACATTTCAGTAATTTCAAAACTTCCTGTTATGTGACATCTCAGCTAAGACAGCTCATTAAACAGAAGTCAGTTTCTTGTGGTCATTTTTTTCTCTATAAGGAAGTTGTTTGTAATTATACAGCATTTTGTTGCAAATTCTTATGTTTTTCGTTTTGTATTTATTGAGCTATTCCTTTTTAAAAGTTAGAAGTCAAATGTATTAACTGAACTGTAACGTTTAAGATGGAAACAAATATGGTAGCAGGTCAGTATTTTAAGCTTATTTTTATGCCATTTTGTTCTTTGTTTTATATTTTATTGAGGTCCTAGATCTCCTGTGCATCTTACTAACCAATAAACACAAGTGTGCCAAAATTACCAAAGGTCTAAATTTACCTGAGACGAAATTACACTTTCTCCCACCCCTTTTAATATTAAGTACTGGCTAAACTGGGATAAAGCCTTTTTCCTGTAATAACACACCAGTGAGATCAGAAATATCAAGTAAAATATGCCTGTTTTTATTTATATAGTAGTACTTTGTTATAGTTTTCTAAGTCAACACTGCCAAAAGCATTACATTTAGTTTAGCACTTGTCTTTTTTTTTGTCATCAGAATCAAGTTTTGTGTACCAGTACTTTAATATTGGGACTCTAAAAATCAACAGGTTAATCACCTGCAGAGTGATCATGTAGCTTGTCAACAATATATTAGCACACCAGTAGATGGTGACTTGTATAAGTTCCTCTCATCCTGCAATTATTATTAATAACCATAAGTTTCTCACCACATTTTTTTTTTTTTTTGTCTCAGTGAATTTACACAGTAAGGCTGCACATCATGAAGTCAAATCTTCAATAATTACTGTTAAAATGTGGACATGTGAGGCTACATCTGATCTGTAGACAGAAGTTCACAGACTGATACAGAATCATAATCCTTGGGTTAAAAAAAACTGAGCTGAACCCATTCATAGTCTCTTTGCTGTAATTAGTTTTAAAACTGCTGCAAGAATTCACATTTTTTATTAGCATGCAGTCAATAAATTACTCAAGTCCTTACGAAGCATTTGATGTGTTTTTAGTCAATTTGTTAATTTATGCATAATTTTGTTTTTGTGGACTACATAAATTAGCTATTAGTTTTGTTTACATTCTGTAAACCCAGTGGTCTTATCAAACAGAATGAAAATAATAAAATCAGATTTTTACTATTTTAACTATTAAAACTGAACCCAAATCTAGTTAGTTGGCACAAATTTCATTTCATGTAAAGTAAGTGTTAAAATACAATATATATTCTTAAAATGATAGTTCAGATATTTTTAAATTGGATCCAGTTGAAAGGTTTTGAACAGTTAATGTTTTACCTGTTGTAGATAGGTCTTTGAGCAACCTCAGTTTGAAGAAATAGATTTGTTTGACTGTACACCTGAGTTACTGTTTAGTCCAGATTAGAACAGATTTGCTGGAATATGATGGCATCACTGTTCCCTCTGGTTTACTTCAGGTTTAGAGTGGCTGAACACTGAAGGACCTCTGTCTTTGAACAAGGAGCTGGTTGGTAAAGTGGTGCTGCTGGACTTCTTCACTTATTGCTGCATCAACTGCATGCACATCCTGCCTGACCTGCACCAGCTGGAGAACAGACACTCTGTTAAAGGTTTGTGCACTCTGAGTGTGATCGTGGCAGTTTTTATCCTCAGTGGTTGTGACAAGAACAAATAAATAAATAAATAAGGCATCATCACTGAAAAAAAAAAAAAAACAAGAACAACAAATCTGTTTATAAAACTTTTTCTGTGAAAATTATAAAAAAGCATCGACTACAAGAGCTGCTCGTTTTTATCTCATTGATATTATTTCAGTCTTCATCTTCTTTTGGCTTTTCCCTCTTCAGGGGTCGCCACATCGAGTCATCCTCCTCCATCTCACTCTGTCCTCTGCATCCTCTGTCCTCACTCCAACTACCTCCATGTCCTCTCTAACTGCATCCATATATCTCCTCCTAGTCTTTTTCCTGGCAGCTGCATTTCTAACATCCTTCTACCAATATACCCACTGTCCCTCCTCTGGACATGTCCAAACCATCTCAGTCTGGTCTCTCCAACTTTATCTCCCAGTTGTTCAACCTGTGCTGTACCTCTGATGATCTCATTCCTGATCTCATCCATCCTTGTCATTCCTAAGGAGAACCTCAACATTTTCATTTCTGCCACTTCCAATTCTTTCTTCTGCCTTTTTGTCAATGCCACTGTCTCCAGACCATATAACATAGCTGGTCTCACAAATGTCTTGTGAACTTTTCCTTTGGCCTTTGCTGACATCTTTTTGATGCAAATCACTCCTGAAACTTTTCTCCATCCACTCCATCCTGCCTGGACTCTCTTCTTCACCTCTTTACCACACTCCCCATGTTCCAGGACAGTGGACCCCAAGTAATTGAAGTCCTGCCCCTTTGTGACCTCTGCTCCTTGTAGCCTCACTGTTCCACCAGCCTCCCTCTCATTTACACACATGTTCTCTGTCTTACTATGACTGACTTTCATTCTTCTTCTTTCAAGTACATACCTCCATCTCTCCAAGTTCTCTTCCACTTGTTCCCTGTTCTCACCACAGTTCACAATGTCATCTGCAAACATCATCGTCCATGGGGATTCCTGCCTGACCTCATCTGTTGGTCGGTCCATCACCAGAGCAAACAAGAAGGGGCTCAGAGCTGATCCTTGATGCACCCCCACCTCCTCCTTGCTATCTGTCACTCCTACAGCACATCTCACCACTGTCCTGCTGTCCTCATACATGTCCTGTACCAGTCTAACATACTTCTCTGCCACTCCAGATTTCCTCATGCAATACCACACCTCCTCCCTCAGCACTCTGTCATATGATATTTCTAAAGACACAATGAAGTTCTTTCTGACCCTCTCTGTACTTCTCCATCAGCATCCTCAAAGCAAAGATAGCATCTGTGGTGCTCTTTGGTCCGTGTACATTCAGGCAGTTCGTTTTTTCGTTTGAAACAAAAAATGAAAAAACAAAAGCACACTAGTTTTTTTGTTTTTCGTTTATTAAACCAAAATTAAAAATCGGATAACGAAGTGTCATCCGAGTTCCGATTTTGTGCACAAAACGAAAATGGAAAAAAACGGATAACGAGCGTTCACTTTCGATTATCATGATTTCATTTTTGACAAGTGGTCTGACCCTGGAAGTTCTCTCTGTCCCGCGCCGTGTAACTTGCCACTTCTGTACACACGTCCAAAACGGCGATGAATACATTTTGAATTAATTTGATTTTTACCCACCAAAAACCTTATATACCGACTTTTTTTGTTTGTTGATTAAAAACGCATAAGAGCAGAGAAAAGTCCAAGAGACGGGAGTTCGCCGAATCTGGAAGTAAGCCCAATTTGAAGCATCTGGTCTCCGTGGTAGCTGATGCTGGCCATGTCACCTAATCTGATGCGGTTTTGGATTACTCGGCTGTTTCAGAACATATCTATACACATTATTCTTATTGTATGTGTACATATGTTTAATGATTTTGTAAAACACTTTATTCAACTTGGGTTATTTAAAATGTGCAGTATAAATGCCAAAGTGGGCATTTTACTGAACTAAACTGTAAAGTAAAATCATATTGTTTTGTGTGAATTTTAACCCGTTTTTCTTATCAAGAACTTTCTGCCTGTCCGCTTATAAATTCATCAAAGAATAAATAAAATTAAAAGATAAGCTCAGAAGAACTGTGATTTAATCATGCATTCTAATTTCTCCAAAGTGCAGCACTCAGCAACAAACCTCTGCATTTATAGTGATTTTTTTTTTAAACTTGGACACAAATATTGATACATTTTATGCTTTTGTCAAAAAGCTTTTCAGTCAACAGGCCATTAATGAAAGTGAGATTAGAAAATCTCAATTTTGCATATGTTTCTATATCAAAGTGAGCTTTTTGTTACTAATATTAAATGTAAAAAAGTTAGTTTAGGCTTTTTAAAATAGTTTGTTTTCAATTAAAATAAGATAGAATAGCTGTAACCCTTTTCTTCATGGTGCACAGATTTTCTTAACTCATAGTATAACACAATTTTTTATTAATTCTGGCTAACGTGTGTAAAACATATGATGACTTCAGTTTGCTCCAGGACCATTTAAAATATTTTTAAAAGTATTTAAAGTAAGTAAATATAAAGCAAAGTAGTATGATTGTCAAATACATTATATTTATATTTTAGTATATGCATGCAGTCTTGGAAAACTACACTATTTAGCACTTTTTTTTAAAGTTTAACAAGAGCTTTATTCTGTTGCTGTGTCATGTCATTCAACATCAGACAAACATGTTTAAGTTCACTTAAGATGAGAGGAAACTGTAGTACAACCTTCTGCTTCTTTTCCAAGAGCAGGAAGGCCCGTATCTCAGGTGTGAAGAGAGAGTGGCTAAAAATAATCTCACTCTGCTTGAAGTGACTAACAGTGCTCATAACTTCACACTGCTGTAGTTTATAGTATTGTTTTAAAATAGCTGCTGCTGATAAAGCACGGTCTTCATTCATCCTGCTGCCCTACTTAAACTTGAATTCTGTGGGTCATCAAAGGGAAAATGGTTTTCTGTGGAAATGATTAATATCTTACCTGTTGTAGATGGTTCTTTGGATGACCTCCGTTTGAAGAAATGTAGTTTAATTCTGGATTAACAAGCCAGCGGCAAGTTCAAGTGGGCTCAAGACCACAGAGGATTGAATAACTCCACTTCCAGAGATTTAAATTCTCCCTTTAGGTTTTAAAAAGCACTACATTCATTGAAACATAAAAGTTGAGCTTCATGCAGACCTTTGAACGCTCAGGTGTAAGCATTTTGAAAACAGATTAGAAACCATATGGAGAAATAATTTTGTTCTTTCAAAATGACATAAAGAACAAAGAACTTTAAAAATAAAACTTTGTAAAAATTTAATTAAAACAATAAAAAATTACAAAGCAATAATATCCAACTAAATAAATATTAAAACACACACACACACACACACACACACACACACACATAACAAAATTATTTCTCCATATGGTTTCTAATCTGTTTTCAAAATGCT